GTGGCCTGGAAGCCGAACGTGGCCTTTTGCTTGCCTTTATCTGGCCCTAGATACGAGATCTCTCCCACTGATAGGAGACAGTATTCTACCAACTGGCATCAACAATGGGTCACTAATCATCTCACTGGCACCAACAATGAGGCATTATTCCTCCCAATGATGGGGTACTATTCTTCCGCCTAATACCAAATGTAGCGATGTTTACGCTCATGAATGCCAGGAACATTTCCACTCCTGCTGGCCACAGTCTAGCCCTGCTAAACTCTGAAGGACAATAACTGGCCCTTTGTTTAGAATGTTTGGAGACCCCTGTTCTATGAGAAGACAGATCATTACATGTGTATCCGTTTACATTCATCCACATCCAAGACCCTATAGGTCTGCAAAAGCAGATAGAAATTATTTGTGTTAATCCGAACAGTATGAATCAGATGCACATCTGCCTGTCCATAGAGATTGCATGGGTCTCTTTTTCTTTTATCACAAGGGGGAGGAAAAATTGAAACAGACATGGGTGTCACAAAAGCGACATCTGTCCCATTCTGATCTAAATGATTAATTTTATTGTTACATAGTCTGGCTGAAAAAAGACAAAAGTCAAACCAGTTCAACCATTGTATTTCATTTCTAGTATGATTAGACCTAGCACACTAAAAATATATTATTTACCTTTTTTTTTTACAGTTTATCATATGAACATTTTTATTTATTGTTTTTTACCACAATGTGATTTTTTTTTTTTATATACAGTCCATTGGAAAACATTACCTCACGACAGACTCTCCCTCTAGATCAGGGGTCTCCAAACATTTTAAGGGCCAGTTTACTGTCCTTCAGACTTTGGGGGGCCGGACTGTGGCCAGTGGGAGAAGAAAATGTCCCAGCAGCACCATTGGGAGAAAACAATGCCTCAGGCTTGGTGGTCATCGGAAGTAAAAAAAATGACAAGGCATCTATGGTCGGTCAGTCAGTAGGAAGAGAAATAGTACCCCATAATTAGTGTCTGTCAATAGAATGAATAGTGCCCCATTGTTGGTGTCAGTGGACGGAGGAATAGTGCCCTATCTTTGGTGTCAATGGGAGGAATAGTGCCCCATCATTGGTGTCAGTGGGAGGAATAGTGCCCCATCATTGGTATCAGTGGGAGGAATAGTGCCCCATCATTGGTATCAGTGGGAGGAATAGTGCCCCATCATTGGTGTCAGTGGGAGGAATAGTGCCCTATCGTTGGTGTCAGTGGGAGGAATAGTGCCCCATCATTGGTGTCAGTGGGAGGAATAGTGTCCCATCGATTGTGTCAGTGGGAGGAATAGTACCTGTTGTTGGTGTCAGTGGAAGGAATAAAGCCCCATCTTTCGTACCAGTTGGAAGAATTGTGCTCCATCATTTATATGAGTTGGAGGAATTATGGCCTATGGTTAGTGTCAGTGAAAGGAACAGGGCTCCACCATTGGTGTCAGTGGAAGGAATAAAGCCCCATCTTTCGTACCAGTTGGAAGAATTGTGCTCCATCATTTATATGAGTTGGAGGAATTATGGCCTATGGTTAGTGTCAGTGAAAGGAACAGGGCCACCATTGGAGTCAGTGGGAGGAATGGTGCCTCATCATTGGCGTCAGTAGGGAGAATAGTGCCCCATCATTGTTGTCAGTGGGAGGAATGGTGCCCCATCATTGGTATCAGTGGGAGGAATAGCGCCCCATCATTGGTATCAGTGGGTGGGAGAATAGTGCCCCATCATTGGTATCAGTGGTAGGAATAGTGCCCCATCATTGGTATCAGTGGGAGGAATAGTGCCCCATCATTGGCGTCCGTAGGGGGAATAGTGCCCCACCATTGGAGTCAGCGGGAGAATGGTACCTCATCATTGGCGTCAGTAGGGGGAATAGTGCCCCATCATTGGAGTCAGTGGGAGGAATAGTACCTCATCATTGGCGTCAGTAGGGGGAATAGTGCCCCATCATTGGTATCAGTGGGAGGAATAGTGCCCCATCATTGGTATCAGTGGGAGGAATAGTGCCTCATCATTGGCGTCAGTAGGGGGAATAGTGCCCCACCATTGGAGTCAGTGGGAGGAATGGTACCTCATCATTGGCGTCAGTAGGGGGAATAGTGCCCCACCATTGGAGTCAGTGGGAGGAATAGTACCTCATCATTGGCTTCAGTAGGGGGAATAGTGCCCCATCATTGGTATCAGTGGGAGGAGTGTTGCCTCATTATTGGCGTCAGTAGGGGGAATAGTGCCCCATCATTGGAATCAGTGGGAGGAATGGTACCTCATCATTGGCGTCAGTAGGGGGAATAGTGCCTTGTATCAGTGGGAGAAATAGTGCCCCTCAAGCTGGCTAAAGGAAAGGGCTGCTGTCTGGAGACAATTGTTCTAGCTAAAAACTATAAATGGAAGTACAGATCTCACATTCAGACCATATTATCTCCTTCCTATCATTAGAATCCTTGCACATGTGCCGTTCCTGACCATAAACAATAACAGTTCTTCCAAGAATGTGAGGTGAGGTCACTAATTATTCTTTATGGAAAGGATACCATATGAAGTAAACACTGGCCAATAAGAAGCTATTGCCTGCATTAAGAAGGTAAGGAGGTAGGAGAATTTTAAATGAATTGCAGTGCAACTTTAGAGCAAACCAGACCTTGCCCATACTAAGAAACGTAACGAGTTCAATGTACTGAGTTGGGTATAAGGTCAATGCCCAATACTTCTAGGTATGGGGGACTGTGTGACATTCTCCCTGCCCTGCACTGTGCAGCGCAGGGTGCCTGAGTGAGTTGTCAAGTACACAGCAATACTGGAATTTTGTGGCTACATTGGTGACCAGTAAGCTGCAAGAGTCCACTTGAGGAGTTGTTTGTGGGAAGCAGTGCAAGTACCAAGACATGCAAAGATCTATTTTTTGAGACTCCTTAGGGGAAGCAATGAAGGACAGCTGCAGGGCTAATGGGATGTTGGACTCTCACAAACCCCTAAAGCACGGGTGTCAAACTGGTGGCCCTCCAGCTGTTTCCATACTACAAGTCCCATGAGGCATTGCAAGATTGACAGTTACAAGCATGACTCCCAAAGGCAGAGGCATGATAGGACTTGTATTTTCGCAACAGTTGGAGGACCGCCAGTTTGACACCCCTGGCCTAAAAGGTATGGGCTGCTCATTGCCTAGGCTTATCACCTCCGCTGTTCTGTTTGCAATGAAGGGATGTGCTGACAATGCTGGGATACCTGAGAAAATGTAAATATTTACACCAACTACAGTCAGGTCCAAAAATATTGGGACATCCACACAATTCTAACATTTTTGGCTCTATACACCACCACAATGGATTTGAAATGAAACAAACAAGATGTGCTTTAACTGCAGACTGTCAGCTTTTAATTTGTGGGTATTTACATCCAAATCAGGTGAACGGTGTAGGAATTACAACAGTTTGCATATGTGCCTCCCACTTGTTAAGGGACCAAATGTAGTGGGACAGAATAATAATCATAAATCAAAAGCCTGAAGTCTGGAACGCAAAGACATCACCAGACGCTGGGTTTCATCCATGGTGATGCTCTGCCAGGCCTCTACTGCAACTGTCTTCAGTTCCTGCTTGTTCTTGGGGTTCCTTTCCTTTTCCATACTCTTCTCTTCCCATCACTCTGGTACAAGTTGATCTTGGTCTCATCTGTCCATAGGATGTTGTTCCAGAACTGTGAAGGCTTTTTTAGATGTCGTTTGGCAAACTCTAATCTGGCCTTCCTGTTTATGAGGCTCACCAATGGTTTACATCTTGTGGTGAACCCTCTGTATTCACTCCGGTGAAGTCTTCTCTTGATTGTTGACTTTGACACACATACACCTACCTCCTGGAGAGTGTTCTTGATCTGGCCAACTGTTGTGAAGGGAGTTTTCTTCACCAGGGAAAGAATTCTTCGGTCATCCACCACAGTTGTTTTCCGTTGTCTTCTGGGTCTTTTGGTGTTGCTGAGCTCACCGGTGCGTTCCTTCTTTTTAAGAATGTTCCAAACAGTTGTTTTGGCCACACCTAATGTTTTTGCTATCTCTCTGAATGGGTTTGTTTTGTTTTTTTCAGCCTAATGATGGCTTGCTTCACTGACAGTGACAGCTCTTTGGATCTCATCTTGAGAGTTGACAGCAACAGATTCCAAATGCAAATAGCACACTTTAAATGAACTCTGGACCTTTTATCTGCTCATTGTAATTGGGATAATGAGGGAATAACACACACCTGGCCATGGAACAGCTGAGAAGCCAATTGTCCCATTACTTTTGGTCCCTTAACAAGTGGGTGGCACATATGCAAACTGTTGTAATTCCTACACCCTTCACCTGATTTGGATGTAAATACCCTCAAATTAAAGCTGACAGTCTGCAGTTAAAGCACATCTTGTTCGTTTCATTTCAAATCCATTGTGGTGGTGTATAGAGCCAAAAATGTTAGAATTGTGTCGATGTACCAATATTTATGGACCTGACTGTATGTTTCACTAAGGCCCCTTTCATACAAGTGGTCCAGTTGGGTACGCCTGCCTGTTTTTCAGGTGGACCCGATCAGACGCAGGAGCAGCAGATGTACAGTTAGGTCCATATACTGTATATTTGGACACACGTACAATTTTAGTTTTTTTCTGAAATTTATGAAAACATATTCCAACTATAAGAAGCAAGGAGGAAACCCAGTCTTTGGTGATGTCCATGGGTTCCAGACTTCAGGCAAAGCATCAGAAAGGAGGAAACCCAGTCTTTGGTCATGTCCATGGGTTCCAGACTTCAGGCAAAGCATCAGAAAGGAGGAAACCCAGTCTTTGGTCATGTCCATGGGTTCCAGACTTCAGGCAAAGCATCAGAAAGGAGGAAACCCAGTCTTTGGTCATGTCAATGGGTTCCAGACTTCAGGCAAAGCATCAGAAAGGAGGAAACCCAGTCTTTGGTTATGTCCATGGGTTCCAGACTTCAGGCAGTCAACAAAATAATAAAAATGAACATTTTATTTATGACTATATTCAATTGTCCAATTACTTTTGGGTGCTCATGCCCGCACAGGTGTAAACCTAGCCTAAAGCTGGCCATACATTGGCAGAATGCCAAAAGAATTTTCTTTCAAAAATCTTTAATAAGAATTTTCATTTGAATTTCACACCATTAGCGGGCCACAGTAACAACCAATTTTCAAGCAGCCATCAAATTTGAGTGACCAGGCGTGTTGGAAATTTTTTGAAGACCGAACGAATTTCTTATCAATGATGGGAGAATCGTGTGAGAAATGTAATCGAAAAAGAAGCGCGAGCTGTGACCTGGAAAGAAAAGAAAATTCTTGGCCACGAAAATTCTTTTCTGTAGCAACATGAGAAAGGCTTGGTTGGTCGAATTTCGAAATCAATGGTGGCGCCATCAGATTACAAAATGCACAACATTTTTTATTTTCTAAAGAAAATTTGTTTGGAATTCAACCTGTGTGTGGCCTGTATATAGCATAAACACTGCATGCTGCCTAAGCACCACCCAGCCCTCCCCTGGTGTCTGAAACATGATTATGAAATGGTTGGTGGCAAAATAATGAGACTCCAATAACAAACTGTGTTACTTCTTTTTCTTTGAATACACAGATGAAAAAAATTAGTACTTTACTATATTTTAAGCAGTTAGATTTAATGATGGAAATATAAAAAAAAAATAAAAATTACAATATATGATCTCTTTTTTTTTGTACACATAAAAAGACAGACATCTATCTGCTTTTATTTATGATTATTTTTTAATTATTTATAAAAAAAAAATTAATTCCAGATTGAATGATGCTCAGGATCATTCAACCCACTTCCTGTGAGCCCAGGGCATCAAGGACTTGCCCCTTTTGGGGTTATCACGTCACCATGGACTCGCAGGGGAATAATGCAGAAGATAATTATGTGACATTGGCAATATTCAGGACCCAGGAGAAGGGGAAGAGGACCCATGAAGACACGTGACTGACCTGAAGACCACAGGAAAAAAGCATGTATAGAGATTAAAAAAAAAAAAAATAAAGGGGGGAGTGCTACAATAGTGGGGAGTGCACAAGCAGGGAAGGGGTCGCCCATCCTGGAGTGAGGCTTTCAATCTGATTGCTTGGCAATTATTTATATAAAAATACTTTTGTATTTATTGCATATTAATAGACCAACATCAGCTAAAGCTTTTTTGTTTTATTTTATCTAGACTTCGGAAGAGTAAATACTTATTCCAGGAGGTGAGGTTGTCACCGGGCAGGAAGACACAAACAGTAATAATAACCGCGCAGGTAATACCCTGTATAACAGAACGGAAGAGGGAAGGACAGCCAATCAGGTTCTGCTGGAATGTACGGGTTTGGTAGCGAGCATACAGAAAGCAGAGTGAGGACTCCTCAATAGGCTGCTACTCCTTCACTGTCCAATCACCAGGCAGAAGATGTGTTCTTGACCAAGCCATGTTGTTGCTACAGTGGTGGTTGATAACATGAATACACCAAATCATGAGATTGACTGCACGGAATAACAAATTCTCATACATGAATTTTAACCACTTAAAGTCCGGACACTTTAACCCTTCCTGTCCAGGCCAATTTTCAGCTTTCAGTGCTATCACACTTTGAATGACAATTGCGCAGTCATGCAACACTGTATCCATATGAATTTTTGTAGCATTTTTTTGAGACAGATAAAGCTTTAGTTTGGTGGTCTTTATTCACCACTGGGATTTTTATTTTTTTGCTATATAAATGAAAAAGTCCAAACATTTTGAAAAAAAAAAAGTATTTTTCTTATAAAATTTTGCCAAAATGTATTCAGCTATCTTTTTAGTAAAAAAAAAAAAAAATAACCCAAATTAGTTTATAACCAAAAATTTTAATTTTTGCTAAATTTTTTTTACATTTGTATTTTATTTTATTGCTTGTTTTTTTAAACATACTGTCACCCTAGCAGTACAGTGTCACCATAGTGACATTGTACTACTTGTGGGGGGTGATGATTTTTCTTTTTTTTTTTACACTGATTGCTTTTACACCCGTAAAGGCTGTAAAAACAATAATTTCTCCTTCTCTCTGGCTGCATTCTTGCAGCCATTGAGGAATACTGTGAGAGTTGTGATTGGTCACAGCTTGTCACATGGTAAAAGGCTGTTGTGAATGGCCCTGTACCATGTGATCTCTGTGATCATTCAGATTTCACTAGTAGTAAGCAATGATGTAAGGAAGTGACATCTTGCTTACTACTATTCATGTGATCACTGATTGGCCAATCAGTGATCACATGATCAGGACTTCAGACAGAGGTCTCATACAGCAATCGGAGGACACAGGGGGCACCAGATTGCAGTGCCGTGCGCTCCCAGGGAGTGCGCACAGGCAGTGAATGTAGAATCCGTTTTTTAAACGGCCACCCACTCCTGCACTGCTCCCATCCGCACTGTACATGGGCTGGACAGGAAGTGGTTAACTATATTATTTCAATGATGTATTTAGCCTCTTACTATATCACTTGTCTGTAGGTTCTGCATGTGTTAAGTGAAACGTTACACATAACAACCTAATTAAAAAAAAAAAAAATGTTCTTTAGCAAAGAGTACATTCCACATAATAATTATGCTGCCAAATTTAGTGTGTGCTGTAAATTGCCTCCATTATTGTTCCTGTTTCTTCTTGCCGGAGGATGCCATTTTGTTGAAGCCCAGAGGCCCTAAGCAGCAGTAAATCTTTAGGCTGTCAGCAGATTGGCACAGTGCTGAAAAAAAAGAGCAACTGAGCATGGGCAGAGCAGGGTGAGACTGGATTTTAAACAGTATAGGCACTTATCTTATTGTTTTTGGTAAAAAAAAAAAAAAAAAAATCCCAAAAAGTGTATTTTGATTGTTTTGTGTGAAAGTAATAGTTTCTACAAACTATGGTATATTGTATATACTGTTTTTTTGTTTGTTTTTTTAATACTACTAATGGCAGTGATCAGTGACCTATAGTGGGACTGTGACAGTACTGACATCTCCAGGGACACTAATACAGTGATCATTGTTACTACTTTACACTGTCACTGTACTAATGACACTGGCTGAGAAGGAGTTAACATCTCAGGTAATCAAAGCGTTAAGTGTGTGCCTGAGAAATGGTAATTTGTGTAATGTGTGTTTTCTTACTAAAAAATCTCTTAGTTTTTGTTTATTTCTTTTTTCTCTGTACTAGGGATGCACCGATACCAGTTTTTTAAGAACGAGTATGAGTACCGATACTTTTATCAGGTACTCGCTGATACCAATTACCGATACCTATTTTTCACGTGGTGCGATTTGAGCTCATACAAAATGAATGGGCTCAACTTGCGGTTGCGATTCCTGTCCAAATCAATTACGGTTTCCCGCACTGCACCTCTGTGAAACCAGGCCTAAGTCACTATGACAAGCCTGGGTTCACAGAGGAGCAGTGCAGGAAACTGACCTATCTGATTTCTACTAACTCTGACTGGAAAGTCCTGCACATGTGGTGGGAAGCGATTGGTGGATCCTCCTCACCTCTCCATGTCCTCTCCATGTGCTCCATCATTAGGCTGATCTGAGCTCCCCCCAGCACCAGACAGTACTGTTACTGTTTTGGGGTCCAGCCACTCCTCAGTATCCCTCTCAGGGAGGACCAGCACACCCGCCATACCGCCGCCATCTGCACCAAGCACTACCACTCCATCAGAGCCCCGTACATCAGATTCCCCATCAGAGCCCCCCTTACATCAGATTCCCCCATCAGAGCCCCCCATACATCAGATTCCCTCATCAGAGCCCCCATACATCAGCATGCCCCATCAGAGCCCCCCATACATCAGAGCCATCATACATTAGGTTCCCCCATCAGAGACTCCCATACATCAGATCCCCAATCAGAGCCCTCTTACATTAGATCTTCCTTACATCATATCCCCCATCAGAACCCTCACACACATCAGACTCCCCCATCAGAGCCCACCTAACACCAAAGCCCCCCATACTTTAGATTCCCCCATCAGAACCCCCCATACATTAGATTCCCCTGTCAGAGGCCCCATACATCAGATTCCCCCATCAGAGCCTCCTTTACATCAGAGCCCCCATACATCAGATACCCCATCAAAGCCTACTCTTACATCAGATCTCCCCATAAGAGCTCCCCTTACATCAGATTCCCTCATCAGAGCCCCTTTTTACATTGAATTCCCTTATCAGAGACCCCATACATCAGATTGTCCCATCAGAGCCTCCTTTACATCAGAGCCCCCATACATTAGATTCCGCCATCAGAGCCCCCCATACATCATATCCCCCATCAGAGCCCTCTTACATCAGATCTCTCTTACATTATATCCCCCATACTCCCCCATCAGAGCCCCCCTAACATCAGATTCCCCCATACTTTAGATTCCCCTGTCAGAGTCTCACTATACCTGTAGACTCACTCCATAGAGCTTGGCAGGTAGACAGCTGGGAGGCCTTGGAGAAGAAGAATGCTGCAGGGTAGGGCGCAAAAGTGACATCATTGGTTGCGAAGACGATGGAAGTCCTAACAACCAATGACAGTAGTAATACAGCTGAGGCCGCCTGTTCACAGTACATTGCAGGCAGGTGATCCACAAGTGCATAAATAACCTTAAAGTGTTACTAAACCCCAGACCCCGCATTCACTATATCCGGTCACCCCGGACCCCGCATTCACTGTGTCCGCCCTCCCCGGACCCCGCATTCACTGTGTCCGCTCTCCCCGGACCCCGCATTCACTGTGTCCGCTCTCCCCAGACCCCGCATTCACTGTATCCGCTCTCCCCGGACCCCGCATTCACTGTATCCGCTCTCCCCGGACCCCGCATTCACTATATCCGCTCTCCCCGGACCCCGCATTCACTATATCCGCTCTCCCCGGACCCCGCATTCACTATATCCGCTCTCCCCGGACCCCGCATTCACTATATCCGCTCTCCCCGGACCCCGCATTCACTATATCCGCTCTCCCCGGAACCCGCATTCACTATATCCGCTCTCCCCGGAACCCCGCATTCACTATATCCGCACTCCCTGGACCCCGCATTCACTATATCCGCACTCCCTGGACCCTGCATTCACTATATCTGGTGTCCCCAGACCCTGCATTCACTATATCCGCTCTCC